ACCCTTAATAAGAAATTATTACACTATCATTAGACTTGTTAAACTACAGGGTTTCCACCAGCTCAGGATAACACTTAAGTGTTTAATCCTTTTTCAGATAAATGATAGTGAGAATGGGGCAAAGGCAGAAAGCCCCTTTTTTAAAATTTTCCTTTAAAGTTAACAGCTACATAAAAATACTTCTCTGACTCCCACATTTCCACTTGAAAGTAAGCAAGTTCCATTACTTTGCACAAGAATCAGGAAAAAACCACATTTGTTACTTCAGGATGCTGAAAATACCTACTTATGAGATATATCAATGGGAAGAAGTTAAAAATAATCAAAGAAAGCTTAGAAAGATTTTCGACAGGAAAGGTTAGCATTTATAAACTTCAAAATTCAAACTCTCTACAGAATTTCATTTCCATATAACATCAGTACTTTAAGGAGAGAGAAGAGGGGAAGGAGGAGAGATGGATGGCTAAACCACTGAATATTTCCTTGCCAAAAATAAATAAATAAAAATGTGTCTATTTATTTTAATATTTTCTCCTAGTCACTGAAGAGGACTTAAGATACAAACCCCTGATTTGCTGGGGTGTGCAACCCAACTTACTTTGGCTATTTCTTACTTAACTCCTTTATTGTATAGAGCTTAAACTCTCCACACTAGGTCATTCAAGTCTTGAGTCACCAGGAAAAAGAAGTCGCTGTTCAAAGTATGGCAGACGACCAAAAGTTCAGACAGCTGCAATGAAGGATTAGTTGTGGGTTTTTCTCACTGCCTTGCTACAAACTGCATCACAGCTCTATGTTCAAACATTATTAAATGGGAATGTTTTCTCTGGCACTGACTACTCCTCCCCACAGTTTAAGTATTGAATTTTTTTAACTGAAGTAGCTTTGGTTTACAGCTCACATTAGAACTTAAAAACATATTTCCATAGAAGCTGGCATATGCAGGCAACTGTTTATTCTCAGTACCAGCCATAATAAACACTTGTACTTTTATAATCCAACAAATCTTTGTCTAATCACAACTCCGTTTTCAGAGCTGTAAAATTTGCATGCTATTTAAGCCATTTTTCATAAAGACTCTCTTGAAATGGAAAGATTTTCTAAGTGTGCCTCCATTATCAATACAGATCAATAATTCACAATAAAGGATGTGAAGATAAATGGTGGGTATTGATGCTAATGGTTTACTGAGAAAGAACTTTGTAAAGTAGGACATGCTATCAGATTTTCAGGGAGATAGTTTGTTGGGAAAGTATGGAGAAATGACACCTCGTTGGTTGGATGAGCTCTTTGGGTGAATTAAGAACAGCAACTGGCTGACTTTTGGGTTTATATTCTAGCATTCCAAAGCAGTAAAGCTCTGGAAAATGGAGCAATTTGAATTTGCTTTTGGCTCATGCCTTGTCAACAGAAGTAATGAAGGTCTGCTTGCAGGATTGCTACGGCAAATGAAAGGGCCCAGCAGGACATTTGTATTCCCTTTGAATTTGCCAGAACTGATCATTCTAAAAGTATTTGTTTTTCATAGTTGATTTTGTTGGCAATAGGGATTGCCGAGGCACAGAAATGTGGAGCCTGAAATGCTCTTTTATTGGAGCAAAATTAAGCTTTGAGGAGAAAAATCATTACCATCCTTCTTCCTTTTTTTTATGGATGTTGCCATTTGTGAGGATGAATTTGCAAGGAGCCAGTAATAAAAAGAATTGCTATCAGCAAGAGTAGGCATTAATTTGAAAAGGATTATACTCTTAACAGAGTCTGTGAAATGCACTGATTTTCATCCTGTGCATGTCTTCCCTTACCCAAGACTTAGTGCTTACATAAGAAACACTGTCCTGACAGTGTTGTGCTTTTCACCTAAACATATATATCCACATCAGTGTGACACTGTTTCTGATTCAGTTTAATCTTCATCTTCCAAGCAGTTCCAGATCATGCAGGACCCCATTCAACAAGAAAACAAGCTCAGGACTCCCATGCATGCAGACCCCTGTGTAAGGAATCTGCCAGGAGATGGACTTCACCCAGCATTCACCTCTAAATGGTGACGGAACAACATGCAGATGGAATTATTGCAGACTTGCTTGTGAGCACTGACAGAGCACCAGAGGCCAACAGCAGCTACCAGGATAGCCAGCTTTGTTATTAGAAATGAGAGTAAATATTAAAAAGTGTAGCTGTACAGCCCTGCAGCAGGCAATACTACCGCCAAGGTGGACAGAGACACAGGACCAATGCTGCATTCAAGCCTGTCACATGAACATGATGTGGTCAGCAGATGATGGTCCCATGAGCATCAGCATCACACTGAAAACCCTGCCAAAAGTGGAGAAAAATCTAAATATCCCATCAGGTTAGGCAGAAGCTGCTAACATCAGAGGCAGACAACTCACAACTGCAGGAATTTGGGGTGGCAGAAGGGAGGCAGGAATATTCCCACTGCCTCCCAAGAAGAGTTGGCAGGATCAGAGAAGTGGAAGAAGAGACACTAAGTTATTACAGTCACATGCAAATGTTGGCATTTAACTATAGCAGCAGGAAAAGAAAAATCAGTTAAAAGAACCTGAGAATGCTGAAAAAAGCCACAATAAATACTGGAGAACTGGAAGAGGAGCTATTTCTCATTAGAAAAGAACAAGGGTTTGAGAACTACTTGTACTTATTAAGATGGAACTGGCTTGGGACTATACATAGTGGAAATTAAGAAAGCCAGAAGAAAATCCACAGACACTTGAACAAAATGAAAAAGGGATCACGGTGCCATCTCACAAGACTGCAAGAGCATCAGTTGCCTCCTCAAGTTAAATCAAATGGCAAAGGACATCAGACTTACTTTAAGTAGGCTTAAGAAAAATAAATAATTGACTAATGGACATCTTAGTAAATCATTAAATCCCCACCTGAGAAGGCACAATGGGAGGGGAGTTTATCTGCAAGATCAAGAGCTGCAGAAATGAGTGAATGTGAGAAAGGACTAGCTAAGGAAGCCTTGAAGACCAAATCACAAGCTTGCCAGAAAATTGATAATACTTGAGAGACTTGCAATAACCATCGAAAAACTGTTCAGCAAAGAGGAAAAATCAGGGTTCATAGGCACCAAATATATTCCCACTGTAATCTGTTGGAGTCAAATGAATAACAAAGCAGGTGACTCTGGTGCTTAGTTTTTACTGGTGGAGCGAAAAAATGGCAGTATTTTATCATGTCCTTTGCTCTTTAAAAAATATAATAGGAATCTCAGATAATAGTGCTAGAAAGGGAAATGGAGTTCTTTAACAGGAGAGAAATAATAATCAGCTCCACACCTTTTAATGGTGACATTTCTGAATTTGAATGCTAGAGTATCAAAGATGAAGCTATTGGCTGTCACAGAATCACAGAATCACACAATCTTATGAGCTGCAAGGGATCACAAGGACCATGGAGTTCAACTCCTGACCCTGCACAGGACACCAAGAGAGTCACAGGCCCATGTGACAAGAGTCACACCATGTGCCTGTGTGCATTGTCCAAACACTTCTTGGGCTCTGTCAGGCTTGGTGCTGTGACCACTTCCCTGGGGAGCCTGTTCCAGTGCCCAACCACCCTCTGGGTGAAGAATCTTTTTTCTAATATCCAACCTTAATCTTCCCTGACACATCTCCAGGCTGTTCCCTTGGGTCCTGTCACTGGTCACCACAGAGATCAGCGCCTGTCCCTCCTGTTCCCCTCACAAGGAAGTTGTAGACTGCAATGAGGTCTCTCATCACTGGCTGAGCTCCTGAGGACAAAATCTGGAGTTGTCCATGCAGGCTGGAAGGCAGAAGGACAAAAGAGGACTCCAGAGCAGTAACCTCTCCTTTGAGGTTATACACATACCTCCAACAAGAGAAAACTAAGGATAAGTTGGAGAAGCTACCCCAGTAGGATATTACATGTATTTCATGGCGTGAAGTGATGGTCTACAATCAACTGCTTGTAAAGAACTTTTAAAAGCAAATTTCAGTTCTTAGATAAAATTACAATGTGCAGAGTGCTAACATTATGTAGAACAAAACCATGAGGAAATGTGATACATACAACCCTCTGTCAGTTCAAGGCACACATCAAGCCAGATTCTGGTCTCCTTACCACAAGCCGAGCTGGGCAAATCTCCTGAAGTTAAAAGGCTCTGGATAGATTTTTATTTTCAGATTAAAACAGTCTGCCCATCAACTTCAGTGGATTGTGATTTATATTAAAGCAGTTTAAAAAGCCAATCTGATCTTCCAAACATCTTTCACACTCAAATTCAAATGTTTCATTGCTGCCATATGCTGAAGGAGACGGAAACCTCATCCTATGGATTCTCCTTCTTATTCCTTATAGACACCCAATAGTGTAGACTAGTACAACTTATATAAACTATAGGAGCAACTACTTGGCAAGCTAATGTAGATCATGCTTTGCCTTTTCAAAAACTCAAAGCAGATTAAGGGTTTGTAATTCACTTCCATTCAGCTGAGTTACAGTTCCATCATAGGAGGTGAATGCTCAAATGGATGCTCATATGCACTGGATGCTCATCTCTCCTTGATGCAAGCAGGATGAAACCACTTGCAGGGCTTGATCCTTGAAAGCAAAAGAGGAAAGCACAGGATGAAATCCTTTATCCTTCTCTGAGTTCAAGGGGATTTTTTCTCTTCAGTAAACTTAGGCACTAATTCATTACTCTTCTCTATAACACCATATTTTGGTCTGTATCAATATTTCTGTATTGGACTCTGCTTTACAGTTAACAAAAAGGACAGGAATTCACATGTAAATATTTTTCATTATTCTACTGAAAATCACTTCAGTTTGCACCTGTACTTACCTTTGGATGAAAACTATGCAGATAGTCCCACCAGGCTGAAAAAAACACACAAACTGTTTTTTTACAGAAGAGAATACTAAATTCATCAATCATCAGTATTTCATACAAGACTGGCCCCACCTCAACAGGGACCACAGGCTGTTTTTACAGAAAGAGTAAGAACAGATAGAAGAAAAAAATCATTTTTATTCTCAGTTTCACATCGTGGAATTTAATTTAGCTTTCAAGACAGATCAACACTGCTTTCAGAATTCTTTGAGCAATGTTTACAAGATCATTAGTTGTGCTTTGTTAAACACCTTCTTTCAGGTATTTAAATGTACCTTAATATCTTTCAGGTGCACTGGGATTCATTATCACTTTATTCACCATCACATAAAAAGACATATATAAATAATACAATTCATAGCTCAGAAAGAGGAACTGTTATATCTTCCATAGTTCATAATGTGACAAAAGTTCTTGAGAATTTAGCCGTACTGCTACAACTTAGCAGAACAACACTGAAATGAGGAACCTTAATGTCATCCCAGAAAACAGAAATACTCTGTTCTGTTGTGTTTGTGTAAGGGAAAGAAAGCTCAAGGGGGAAACTCATGTGCACCATTTCTGCACGGTGAAAAGCCACGCTCACAGAAGAGTCAGTGCAGCACAGAAGTGACCTTTCAGGAGTGGATCTTGGGACAAAAGGTGCAGCTTAAAGAAGCACCTTTGAGGTATTTCTAACTGGAACTACAGGTGGTCAAAAATAATAGTAAGGAGCAATGGTGAGTCTTCACTTGTAAAATACTTCATGCTGGTTTCATTCATCAGGATTCATTCTTTTCATCCACTTCTAACAGTTCATCAAGGAATTCCACAACTTCACCCTAGAAATTATTAAATTTAACAGAAAGAAATTAACCCCCAAAATTGGTGGGAAATTTCTATTTTAATTTTAAAAAATAAACTGTAATAATAGGTGTGCAAATATTTTTAACACTCTCCATGCAGACACTAGTATAACAAACCTATAAAATGCAAGTAAATGACCGATACCAGTGTACCACAAGACTTGCAGTGACACAGACCTTAAAAGGACAAAATGTTATATACTTATATACTTCACAGTAAATCCTCTCGTACTTTTACAGGTAATTAAATAGACAATGAAATCCTCAGACTTAGAGAGGAATAAATGTTTAAAGCACCTGTTAAATTAGGAGGTTGTTAGAATACCATAAAACATTAAAAAAACTTAGAAATCTTCAAAATTCGAAGCCAAAGAGTTTTGTAGAACCATAACTTTGACTTTGTACATCTGCTCTAATAGTTTATGTCCCTTGTCACACCCTTCAACACACACCTTCTCCATTTTCAACCACGGATCTTCACAAGCCATGCTTCAATGCGGCAAAAATGTGAAGAACAAGAGACACTAGAATGTTTTCCACACTGGAAACAAATACACTGGATTTAGATTCAGACCAGAAAATTTAAAAGCTCCACTCTGCTAACACAGGGCACCAATGCAATGCAGCAATCCAACTTTATTTAAACCACTCCTAACGTAGTCCTATGTCCTATACCTTAGTAAAATGTCTTCCTGCAGTCCAGCCTGAGTACTCTGGGATGATAGAGCTCCACTGGCTGGAACTCACTGTCTTGTCAACAAAACTGTGGCAACTGAGCTAAAACCTTCTGTGATCACTTTCAGCACAAGGTAACACCTTCAGTGGTGGAAAGCAGGTGGTCAACAGCAACTGTGCAGCAGCATCCCAAACTACTCAAATCTGCCTGTAGCAGACCATCTCCTGGCACCCTCAGAAACACAAATATTTTTGGTTTGCCTTCCATGCACAGTTCAGAAACACTGCCTGAGAGGGAACACTGCATGAGGGTATTCCCTGTGGGAATACCTGTGCCTGTCTCACTTTTTGATACAACTTAAAGCAGAGAGCAGATGCTCAATGCTACATTTCCAACCTTTTACTCTAGTAACTACAATGTTCTGATAAACTCTGTTTTCTTTAAAAGTCCTTTAAAGGACTTTTCTGTCCTTTCTTTCTTGACAGAAACCTGTGGTCTAAAAAAGTCTTAAGATGTCATTTAGTTTTTTTCCAAAATAAATTGTCATTTTCTGCTGGAAAACCTGATCAGCTCGTACTCACTCTCATATTTAATGACAACTTCTACCAGTTATGTTAAAATCAAGTCATCCTTGTTTGGATGCTCATTTTCCCTTTGCTTCACCACTCATTCCAATTCTGTGAACTGTACTGGGCTTCTGAGTCTGCTCAATTGATGTTTACAATCCCAGTTACATTTTTAACACATTTTTGTCTAAATAGGCATTCCTTCAAAAGACAGCATCTTCTAGACACATTCTGAGACTCAAAATTTTACTGTTTTTTATTCTGGTGAGAAAAGGGCATTAAAATTCTGTCAGTCAAAACAATAAGAGGAAATAGAGAAATTTTTTTCTATTTTGAATACAATAATGGTATTATGGATATTGTGATTAAAAAGTATTAACATCACACTTTTAGGAACTATGACTAGTCAGGAGAGCAATATTGAAACTAAGCAAACAAAAATAAAAGGAGGAGAAAAGCTGGCTGAAATAACTGCTGTTCTTGTTCCCTGCTTCACAGTCCCATCTCAAAGGCCACTGAGACTTTGAAACTATGAAGTGATTTTACCAAGTCTTGAAGGATGGCAATTTGTTGTACTTTGAATTTGTTCAAAAGATTTAAATAGCCAATATACTATTGTCACACTCAACACTAAGACAGATTTTTTTTTTTTTTTTTTTTCCAGAAGACACACAACGTACAGACAAAATTCAAGTTTTTGATTTCTGGTATGTTTTCAAATCCAGAAACATGAAAGAAATGAAAAAGGATATTTAAATGCAACAATATTAGGGGAAAACCCCCCAAACAAACCTGAAATCTGAAATCTCTAGTGTCTGAAACTGAGCTCTAAAGGAAAACATTGCAGAAGCTATTGTGGTCTAATTAGATGTACTGAGGCATAAAAGAGGTTGAAATATGGCAAAAATATAAAAACTGTTGCTGAAACAATATACATAAAATATGCTGAAATACAACTGTGTAATTGCCTGGGTGTTGGTTATTTTGGAAAAGGCATAACCTCCAGATTAAAGAGAAACAAAACCCCAGTTAAAATATTTTTGCCTGTGCCTTCACAATCAAAATATAAAACATCTGCAAGCTGTCACTGGAGAGGTTGGCAGCCCAATGAAAAGGTGATAACTCTGCCTCAGAGGAAGCAAGTATTGTCACACTGGCAGCTGTGAGCAGGCCAGCGCTGTCCTTGTCCCATTAGCACTCACTTCACACTGCACCAGACACCAGCACGGCTGAGCTCAGTACATATTCCACAGATGCTCATTCCAGGGAAAGAAGCCTTCTGTCTGCTGATATCTTGTCACTCTGTGCTGATCTATGCCTGCAGACCTGGAGTCTGAAATGAGTCTTTGATACCATTTACTCCCTCACTGGGACAGAGTCCCTCCTCTCACCTGCTGTGCTCTTTGGCTCCTCCATACCTTTACAGGAAGAACATCCAGTTTTCCATGCAAAGTCAGCTGCAAACAGTCACTGTCATATTTTCTGAAAAATCTCTTTGCCCAGGATTCTTCTCCTGGGAAGCTGAGAAGCCTCAGAGAAAAATGAAAACAATAATTATCTCATTTTGCTTCTCCTGTGTTTTGCTGCTTTGGAATGTGATCTGGAGATTGTTTACCAAGTGCATGTTTGATTGGTTTCATGTGAATTGTTTTTACTTAATGACCTATCACTGTCAGGCTGTGTCGGGACTCTGGAAGGAGTCACAGGTTTTCATTACCATTCTTTGTAGCCTTCTGTCTTTATCCTTTCTCTATTCTTTAGTATAGTTTTAGTATAGCATTCTTTAATATTATATAGATCATAAAATAATAAATTAGCCTTCTAAGAACATGGAGTCAGATTCATTCCTTCCTCTTCCATCCGGAAGGAGGAAAACTTCCTCAGCAAACCCATAATTTCCATAGAAAACTACTGAAACTACCACAGCAAACCCATAATTCTTTCCACTGCCAGCTACCCAAGGGCACAAGGGCCACCAGCTGCAAGGCAGGTAACACAAGCACACTCCTCCAGCCCAGTGCTGATGTCAGTGGTGCTGAGCAATCCATGGCCCAAAGGGCAAGGCAGACCTCTGGCTGCTAGGTAGGACATCAGGAGGTGAAGTCTGCCTAGCTCAGGAAGAGAAGGGTTTGCTGCCTGACCACTACAGGAGTGATAGTTAGGCAGCCCACAAGTGGAAGTACACACAGGCGGGCTGCTTGGCCAGCTGCAGGGAAACATCTCCTCCCTGCCTGGCCCTCGGGCCACAGCCATATCCTCCAGGTTGGCCAGGTACGGGTTGAGCAGCTGTGTGGCACCCCACAACCTCCCTCCCTGTGCTTCCAACCTCTTCCCTCTCCCAGTCCAGGGATGGTCAGTGGAAAGTGGGACTGACAGACCAAGGATGTATGGGAAAAGATGGAGCAGGTATAGCCTGAAATATGAGAGGTGTGATATCGAGCAGAAAAAGGGGAATGTTCCCAGACTGGTGTGAGAGGCAGGAGGAATCAGAGAAGCTGATCTGTCCAACTGGAACCTCTAATTATCTGTTAGATATGCAAAGTGAGCACTCTTGGCGTACATTAACAATGGAACAGAGGCACAGACAGAAAGAACAAGTTTTGTGCAACAGTAATTAATTCAAGAAGTTTTACAGAGGGCATGTGAGTAGGTGGATTATAATAAAAAAATAATTTTAAAACAGAGTTCTTGGTCAATTCTGAATAAGCTAAGCCAGGCTAGTGAGATTGGGGCACCATCTCATGAGAAGCTAGAGCACTGGAAAAAAAAGACCTAAAAAGGAGAAGACTGCAAAACTCCTCACTTAGCACCTCAGTGTACTGAGTGTCCAAGACTATGACATACATTGGGCCAGGCCCTTCCTTATGCAACATTAAAGGTCACATTCACACTCAGAAAACACAGCTTTTTTGGAGAAACATCTGTACTTTGGAGACTCCTAGCCAACTATTAAAATAAAACAGCAAAGAGGAAGAGCTACAAGGACCTGGCTCTGCTATGGCACACTTGAGGCTGATGGTCCAGCACCAACTTTTCGTTCAACAGCATCATTTAAAAACAGTAGCAAGCAGCAGTTGCACTGCCCACTGACAGACCCAGACACTTTGCCACTGTTTGCAATGATTGCCTTCTGCCAATGGAAGCATTAATCCTTCATGAGTTCTTGCCTCCACCTATAATCTGTTCTACCCCTTCTCAGTGTGGGCAGGAAAAGTTATGGGACACAATTAGCTTTCTTGTGATAACCCACACTTTCCAATGCAGATCTGCTGATGGCCTCTCCTATAGGGATGTCGTATGTACTGGAGTGGGATATCCCATTCTTCAGGGAAGCAACAGAGAAAACAACAAAAGACAGTGTTCTAGAATGAATTATGATCCACAGAAAATTGTAATTCTGGACATGCTTTTATGTGTGATTACCAGTGAATGAATAGGAGCTCTTTACCAGCTTCTATACTAACTTGTCCAACAAACAGCCTTAAGAAACAACACATAGAGCATGAAGAATTGGCTGGAACTTTGTTTCCTTATAATCTATGACCTAGAAGGAAAAATACTTATCTCACAAAATGTCCCTCAGTTGTCCTTCTGAGCAAAAATTCAAATTTTGCTAAAGCTCAAAGACCTCAATGACTGGAAACTTGTTCAACAGTGACAGCAACAGATTTGATTCCCTCATGTACTGGGTGTAGGTGATCAGGTTGTGGTAGTGAGAACGGTGGCCTCTAGGTGAGGAGCTAGCTGCCCTATAATTAATCATTATCCTGTAACTGCCCTAGTAAGTAATGGGAATAGTCACAATGATCAGATTATGAAAGCCAGCAGATTTTGTTCAAGAACAAATAATCACTTTGCAAGAGTGAAGCCAAAGGTTTGATATGGATTACTGTGGAGGACATTTGCTCCATGGACCTGACAGAGCCTGCAAATACATACACCACAAAGCCCACTGGCCAGCAATGTTTTTGAGAGGGAAAACATTATTTCAGGGTAAGAGTAAGGCATGTGTCAATGAGTGGCTCAGCCTGAAAGGTTTATTCAGCCTTCGACCAAGAGAAGGTTTCTTGACCTAACCTTCAGTTGAAATCTGAGAGTTAACTGTAACCACCTGAAAGCCCTGCCAGAACTTCCATGAGCTGTACAGTCCAGGCTGGACATTCTTCACATTCCAGCTGGGGAAAAAATAAGAAAATCCCTCAATTCTTTGTGCAGAAAAAATATTTGACCCTTATTTCTTTTTCAGATACTTAGTCCACTGTGTGACCAACTGCCACATGCTTATAGGGCTTTTTTTTTCAATATTAAGAGAGCTTAGTTGTTTTTTACATGAATATTAACTACTTTCTCAAATATTTTTCCATTTTATTTCAATGATATATTCTGAACCTTTAATTATTTTTCCCATATATTACGGGAAATTACAATACACTGCAGTTATTAGAGTAGTATTTTACAGTTAACCAGTACATGTGCCTTCCTTTTAACTTACTTATAATGCCTATAAAACATGAGTCAACCCAATTTCAGAGGGACTTCAACATTGCTCCAATTGCACTGAAAGCAGAAGCCTTCCAGCGGCCTTGTTTCTGAGCTCTACTTATGCTCTCTTGCCTGCTTTATGTTGCATGCAGAAGTGTAAGAGAATCTGGGCAGTAGAAGTTCCTCCTAATGCCAGTACCTGCAGCTTGGAGCCATCCTGGCATTTGAACACAATCATGCCGGCAGCTTCCCATGCAAAGTGGCTTAAATGGGAGGAGGAACCCCTTTGACCAAGACACACATCCAACAGTGCAGAAGCAAGAGGAGAAAGCAGAAAGACCCAGCCATATGGAAACAATCTCCACTAGAAAATGATGATGGAAAAAATAAAACCAACCTCATCTTTTTTCTCCTTAAAAAGTGTGTGTTGAATGGGGACCATAACACTGCCCATCAGCTGGCAACTCTCTCTGAAAAAGCTGCCACCGGCTCTTCTCAGGGCAGCAGTGCTGTTGGAGCTGTGCTGGTCTGAGGTCACAGTCAGGGCATGGTTTACAGCACTTAAAACTTGCTGTTACAAGCACACTCGTGTAAATCATTTGAACATATGCAAGGAGTGAGGTAATAAAGCTCAAAGTATGTTGTTAGCAATTCCCAAACAGAAAAATAGGCTAAATTCAGATTACTATTTGCTATCAGTACCCCACTGGGGCCCTTGTGTTTTGATGCTGTTCCATATGTCCTCTTTCCACCAGCCACATTAGTTCAGTACATGGACGTGATGAAACACAGAGCATTTTAATTTCAGCCACTACACAAATGGAACACACACTATATACAAATAAAGATGTCAAAAAAAAAGTGGGTCAAAGCTGCCAACAGCTTTTCACCTACTGATTAAATACTGAAAGAAAAATTACATTGTAGGCTCATCCCCGCCAAATATTTGTGGTTCTTATTTAATTTAGAACAGCTAAGTAGCTATCTCCCCCCCAAAAAATTCCATAAGAACACTGATTTTATGGGCCAAAAACATGTCTCATACCATTAGTGTGGTGCTGGAGTTACATCTACACCAGCTGAGTGTCTGGCTCTTAACAGCATTTCAGTTTGCCACTTAAATCTGTGCAGTACCAGGAGCTGTATCCATGATAACCTTGATGCATTACACATCTGAACAGAAATCAAGAAGCCTGTCTCCCCATGGCCAACCAAGATGACAACACTGCAATGTTCTTTTAACTTCCCTGCGGAAAACTGTAAGGATATTTAAGAATAATTACATTTTCTTAAAAGTAATTTGTAGCTAGCTGGCACCAATATTCTGTCACCTCTACTGTGTTAAATGCTTAAATTAAGAGTTTTTCATTTCCTTGTGGAAAAACATTAATAGAGTAACACAAGCAGGACAGTATTTCTTGTAGTAACATATGCAAAAATCATTACTGCCTGTTCCAGCCTCTGCAATTACTGCTATGTATTCCTGAAGAAGCCAAACGTTTTCACTCGCTTTACTAAGGGGATTTAGAAAGACACATGGATGATCTGGGATACAGGAGCACTGAGAAGTCTGGATAAAATGAGATTCTCCACTTGAAAATTATGACACTCACACAGGAAGTGATCCTCTTGTCACATCAATGCTTTTGCTTCCATCAAGGGAAAAAGAGTTGGTTTTTTTCTGCAGATTATCTTGCAGGCTGTCTTACTGGCCCACAAGAAACTTCACAAACAGCAAACATGGACCACAGAAACTCACAGAAAGTATGGCCTATGGCCCAAGGAGCACATGGTTTAAATAAATAGAGTGCACTTAGAAGAGAGCTTGCCTCCATCCTTAACAATTTTTAATAAAGTTTCTACTGTAATGCCTTATCTGGGGTTTTCATCAGTTTTTAACATACCTATGGAACAAACTTTTCTATCCGTGCCAGGAGAAATATTAAACAAAATAAAAAATTCCACTTATACTACCAGTCCTGCCCATAGAGCAGAAACTGCAAGGTCGTGGTTTTACCTTTGTGCTATTCCTGCTCTGTCTGCACTCCCTGGAAGTCTCCTGCAGCCAAAGGCAAGTTCTGGTAGCCAGGGATTTATGAGTTCACTACCAAAAGCTAAAGCCAAACTGGAGGCATGGACAGCCTCCATCCCCCACAGGTTTTTGGGCCCTAGCAAGGGAGGGCACAGAAGCCCTTCAGCTTTTCCCCTGAGAAGAAGAATGGTAACTTTCCTAAACAAAGAGAGCGTGAGGTAGGGGTATCTGTGGCATAAGCAGGCCCAGTAATTTTGGTTATTTAATGCAAACATATAACCAGTGTAATGTGAGCTCCTTGTCAGCCCAACAGTTTAGCTGAGGTCTACACTGCACCACCCTCCTGCAGATTGCAAGGTCATTTGTAATTGCCCTGGTGACAGGGGCTACAGGAATGAACACCAGCAACTGAGTGCTTGTTTATTCTACACACAGTGCTGGATACTGAAGATTGTTCTATAATAACTCCTTCTTCTAACAACATATGGGGAAAACCCTCAAAAAGGACTTCTTCACCCCCATACTTAATTACTCATCCCTGTGTTTTGAAACAGCAGATACGAAAGAAGGAAAAAAGTACAAATTAAGTTGATGCCTAACTTAAGAAAACATCATGGACAAAGCACAAACCAACAAGGGAATACAAAAAGTGCTCAAGTATTTCACACCTTGATGAAAATCCATACAGACTAGTCCTCATCTAAGCTTAACCTTAAAGCAAGCTTATTAACCCGTCTTTCAGGGGGTTTTATCACAATTGAAAGTCTTCCTGAAGTCTGGTAACCTTGCAATGGAATTTTACACAGAGTTGTTTTCAGATCACAAGAATACTGAATGAAGAGCAGACATTACTTCTCTGCTGTAAAAGATTCTCACTCCCTTCGTGTTGGATAACAAAGATTGCAAAGGTGTTTTCATTTCTTAACATAAACCATCTTTGTCTTTTCTAACTAGAAAAGACCTCGGCAATGCTCGTTACAGATACTCTTGCCTCATGTCATAACTGAGCACAGCTCTTTTTTTGTCAATGCCAGCAACATTTCATCATTTGAAGATTTTTCTAAACCTCTAAATGAAAGGACCCAAAAAAAGGCAAAAGGCAATCCAAAACTTCCCATGAATTATACTTTAATTTCAGTTGTGGAAGGAAATGCCCTTTCAACAATTAAACTACTTTTCTTGCACCAAAATAAAAAAATCCCTCTTACATATTTTCCAGTGTAAATAGTAGTCATTATATGTTATTTGACCATGAATTCCAACCATCTAAAAAGCATTACTGGGTGACCAAAATGCCACTGAGCAGAAAAAAATAACAGATAACAAGACTTCCTTTGGACAAAAACTACAATTTAGGTGGTTACTTCTGGACAAAATCATAAGGACCTTTAAATCTAATTTAAATAACATTTCAGAAAAAGAAAAATCCACACCCCCTCCCACCCCTCCCCCCCCCCAAAACACCAAACCCAGAAAAACATTTGGTTTAAATATATATGCACCATTTCTCTGCCCTCTGGTGTTACAACTTGAAAACTGAGCTTCCTTTCTTTTCTGTGGGCTCAGTGCACTATATATTTACCTTTGTGTTAATTCTGTCCATGTTTTTTTAAATGGTACATGGTGTTCTTCGGGTTTGTTCTTATATTCCACTTACCAAACAACAATTTATTATAAATTGGTGGTGGTTACAAGAAGATTTTTCCATATTAGTGAAATCCTGGAACTACAGCTATGTATCATCTTCACTTTAAACGTGATTGCTGCTTTTTTGACTCTGATTTCATTTCTGGCAAACTCACCTCATCATCATCCATCAGATGTTCCTTCGCAAATTCATACATTTCCAGCTGGAGTGTGGTAATGTTGTGGTATCGAACTGCCTCCTATCAAAAAAATCCCAAATTTCTGTTACTTTAGGGTAGCAAGACAGATGAGTGTCATCACATGCCTCCTGAAACCATCCCAGTGAGGTCACACCCAGACCTAGCAAAGGCAGATCCCAGGCAGGGCTCACAGTGTTTGAGAAAGGAAGCAGCAAAACAGCAAAGAGCATATTCCAAACTCTTCTGTGGATCTTCCTAAGCACAGGCTTCCTCACTGCAAGAACAAAGCACTCTCCTCTTTCTCATGTTTCAAAGCACTGGCGAGCCTGAGAAAAAGGAATGAGACTGCCAGGGCTGAGCAGCAGCCTGTGCCTGCATTCCAGTGGGCTTTGGACGGGAGAAAGCCTCTGTCTCCCTGTGCTGGCTATGGCAGCAGGCAGTTCTGGGAAAGAGACACACTGAGCTGTTTTGGATGATAATGACTCACCACCCAGCCTGAGCCTGGGCTAGGGAAACTCTGCAAGGTCACTCACCTGTCCCTCCTCACTTCCCCACTGTGTGCCCGGACAGCACAGGGTAGCTCAGTCTCATACTCTCACATTTGTGAATACCAACTGCCATCTGCTTTGATTATTCCATTTAACTCCTCTTGGGGAACAAAACAGGAGACTCCCTCTTTCACAAGAACATCTAAAGGTTAGTGCCAGAGCCAAATGTTGCTGTCACCCCATTACCACTTTTTGAAAATAAACCAGAGGTGTTATGGTTTTCGAGGCAAGTGATTAGGACAGCAAGCAACTTCCGTTTATAGCTACATAGATCAAAGTACAAGAAAATACAGATATGTGCATTTAATATTTTGTATTTTAAAATCAAATTATCTGTAGTCCCCAGCCCCAGAAGTTATCAATGAAACATTCAGAGTGCATGTGTAGGACCCTTGTTCTGCCCTCTCTGCCCCAGTATGCCAAAAGTGTCTGCGGTTTGCAGTTTCATACTGTTGCTACCCCTCACTCCCACCACCACCAAACATTGTCTCCAATATGGTTATAAAGCACCATTCTGTCCCCAAAAGCAGTGACAAAGGAGCAGTCCCCTTCCCCTGTGAGCTCAGACTTGCTGCTGCTGCTGCCTGAAAGAACCAAATGCATTTTTGTTGCCTTTTGTCTCAGTTGGCCCTGCGGGGCAGGCCTGGGCTCCCACTGTGCCAATAAAGTGTGTGCTCTAAGAGGCATGACTAGAAGGCACTAAATTTAATTTGTGGAACATGTATTATTAATGACTAACTAGCTGTACAGCCCATATGACGGATGCCTAAGCAGTCAGTGAGTGTCACAATTTAGCTGCATGACTTAAATCCTGGTAACAAGAAACATTAGAAAACCCAATTTGATGTCACAGTCCAGGCTGTAAAATTTCCTTGGACATGGAAATTTCAGAACAGCATGGAAACCCATTTTTAAAATAGTTTTCCAAAGCCGGATGACATCTATTGCTGGATGGACTGGTATCTTCTTTGCAGCAAGCATTTTAATTTAGATAATTAGATGAAATACAGTCCCGAGCCTCTTTCCATCCTCATCCACCCAACTGTGTTCTAAATGGAGTAAGCGGAAAGTCAGTTTAGCTGGAGTTACCATATTCAGACACATTCCAATGCCCACAGAACCTGAAATAACAAGCGAGTGGGCAACTATGTGTTGGCAAATAATGATTCACAAAAGCCTGAATGTCACTCAGAGATTTCATCATGAGAGATTTCAGGGGGCAGCTGCTTTATTTATAAAGGTACATAAAGACATAAACATGCCTAAGTGTCAGAGAAGTTTACTTCTCATTATATATTATATGCTATCGTAGTATATTTCAACAGAAAGGGAAGAGTTACAATGACATTCACTGTTCACATGACACACTACACCTCTGTGTACAACTTTCTATATGACTTTAACAAAACAGGATGTGTTAAACTCCCAAACCAGAAGATATCTCACATTTTCCCACTGAATTTCAGAGAAATATTTGAATGTGTCTAGAAGGCATTTTAGGTAATCCACCTACCGATCTGGGCTGAAAATCCTCCTCTTTAAGTCCCCATTTTTCTTTGTGGTACTGGTAATAGACCATGTTCTGTTTCATTACTTCATCTTTCTCATCAAACAGAAGGTAACTGGCAGCACAGGAAGCTGCATTCTTCATGTCATTCACTAATTAATAAACACACAGAAAAAAAAAATCCAGGTAAGGTAAATGAACAAATTCCTGCTATTATCTAAGCTCTGAAAAACTCAAAACACAGCCCATACTCTACCTCCTCACCAGCTGCATAGAGGAAAAAAATTGCTCCCCAGAAACTATATGCTATTTTTGCTCTGAAACACATAAGGCCATAATTCAAATATCAACTCATCATCAACTTCTGATGGTTTTCTATGAAAATACTAACCAAATATTCCTCCCAAGTATCCCAGTATCAGCCCACAGCTTGGTAATACGCACTGGGGCATTTATTTAAAAAACAAAATAACATACACTAAACCCCTCCCTACTTCTTTGTACTAGGACTGATAAAGAGGGAAGAGTCAGGGTGCAAAATGTGTAGTCAAACAACACAAGCAAGAGTCATTAATGGCTTGATGCTACATGGCTGCTGTGTCTTCCCTTTGATATTGGAGCCTGCAGGAACAGCTGAAAGGGTGTTCTTTACAGTGCAAGCTGCTCCTCAAGAAACCACAGCTTTCACTGATTAATTTACCTATCAAACCTGTCATCACTGAGCACTGAATACTACAATTTCTTTTAAGTGGTCCCCTCTTTCTTCAAAATCCATTTAGCCCCATTTTAATAGGATGATAAGAATCCACTAGGAAAAAGCAAAATAAACCTAAACAAATACTCTGTACGTTTGTCTGTGGAAGAAATTCTGTCCCATGTCTGTTAACTACAGTGATAACAGGGAGCAAAAGACATCAGGAAACTTGGATTTGGCGTCCCAGAACAGTTTAAAATGCAGATTCTAGAGGGTACTACTTGCATTCAAAAGCATAAAATGAGAGGGAAAAGATTATGAATGGAATCTGTCCCACATCATCCAACATCAGTGTTATTTAAGCACAAAAAATGATTACTTACATTTATAATAAGCAAACTGCAAGTAATGGTACATGGTGGCCACAAATTTTTCAACGACAAAGCCTCCTATAATGGGTGTCAGATTGCTCTCACACTGCACTTTGCATGCAAGGACTTCAATATAATGGTCTGGAAGGAAGAAAACAGCAACAGAGGATATGGATAGCACAGAGCAAATTGTTATAATCACTCCCATTAGTCACCCATTAAAATTTGGCCTTATAATGCTCTCCTGGTCCTGTACATCTGGCTCTTGCTGCTTGGAAGTACTGAGAATCTACAATTCCATCTGAAGTATGAATCAAGTGCTGGTACTAGGCCCTTCTGTAAAAATCTGTGTGGCTGACTTTTAAGGCATTGGAGCTGGAATTCCAGAGAGCTGAGCACTTAGGTTTCACTGACACCTAGAGGCAGCATGTGGTTGGTGGGTTTTACAGAGTATTGCACAGTACTGCATTATGTCCTAGCTGTAAACTTCACGGTGCTTTCTTTCCTTTTCTAAATTTTGCAAACCATGGCAATTTCATTACATTATTGCACAAATAAGGTCCCCATGCTGCTGAGTACAGCTGTGTCACAGACAGATACAGCAGGTGACTGCAAAATAAACCTCCAGAGATGGCTGCGTTATGGGCCCAGAGTTTGGATGTTTTAAGGGAGAAAAAAAGAGGAGAATATGCTGCTCACCACAGAAAAACTTTCAGCCAGGAACATGTAAGTTCACAAGCTTAACCCAGTCTAAAAATTGCTATATATAATGCAATATAGGACTATAGGTGATTTTATCTTCAAGAAAATACATTTCAAGAATACTTTTCAGCAAAAAGCTTCAAGCATTTTCTGGATATATCACATTCATCAACAGCAGGGAAAAGAAATATTTTAAAGTCTTAATTTCCCTGTTAGCCACATTTGGCAGGTGAAAGCAAGTTAGCTAAGCTTGTGCAGCAAATTTCTGACCAGGAAAAAAGAACACTTTTCATCCCTGAAAACTCCTAACATGAAGATCACTGAGGTTAACTAAATATAACTGCTGAAACAAACTAAAAATTACTGGCCAAATGAAATTCCCAGACCCATCTTTTACAAGAGCAGTGGAATTTCTGTAAGCACAGTATTGTTCAATTCCAGCCAGCAGTTAAAGCCAGAGATGTGAGGCCCCCAGTGAAGTGATCCCATGCAATGAGGATAGCTGGCTTCCTAACACAACTCACTTCTCAGTGATAAATACATACCTAGTGCAAGACCCAAATACTTCTGGTTAACACTTGCTGCTACATCTGCTTCCTGCAGTCCCTTGGAGGCAGAATATCTCTCCCTGGAACATGAGCACGATTCAGCCCAGGCAGTGCAAATAAATTTGAATGTTCTCTTATCTCAAGGGCGAAATACTTGAAATGCATGGACGTGGCCATGGTGACATCATGCAGTAATTCCTGCTTTTCCTTCCCATCACTGCTACTGGGAATTGTCCTTCCCTTCCAAGGGGGAAGAGGGAGGGACATAGTAAGTGCCAATCACGGCTAAGCATAGACACTACTCCTTACAGTGGCTTGAAGATTGTCCTGACATCAGAGCTCTGACCCACTGGGGAAGTAAGTCTGTGTTTCTTGCTTTACCTCTTGTGATTTGTGCTTCACTCTGTATTTGTTATCCTAGACCCCTGCATGTTTTTCCCAAGAACAAGCCAAGGCATGAGAAATAGCCTGCAATAGCTATTCTATGTCAGCTGTACTGGTGGATACCAGCTGCACACCATGAGAAACTGAAGCTGCTCATGTATAAACATACTTCACAGAAGCTTCACCTCACCAAGACATATTATGGCTTTAGGACAAAAAGTTGGAATCTTTTTTCCTTAGGGCAACTTAAAACATAAAAAGCGCAAGAGAATTTCTACATTTATTGAGAAAACATGCAGGTGTTCTCCACAAAAATAGTGCCAACAACACTGAGCTGTCAGAGCACTGCAGAAATTGTTTCTTTCACTGCCAAAGAGCATAGGAAATGTGTACGTGCCATTTTGACAACAATCAAAAAAGTTGGTGTCTCTTTTCCTTTGCAAAGCAATGGATTTTTTTTTTTTTGCTATACACACAAAACATAGATGTTACCTACTAGTAAAACTCTATTGCATGAAAGAAAAAAAATAGCCAACAGAACCTTGTCATACTTATGAGGAAAGAGATGCAGATCACCAGACTTACACAAACCACAAAGCTGATTTCAAAGGCAGGCTGACTAACCACTGAGCCTCAAAGGTGGCCAAACTGATACTGAAATTATGGTCAAGAGACCTGGCTGGATGACCACTGTTACCCTATAGCTATAATATTTTATGAAAAATCCTTTACTAGGAGTAAAAGAGTTAAAAAACTTCAGAAGAGAAATGTAAACAATAACTATCTGCTACTGTAGAATGCAACAAGTGCATCTTCCATTAGTACATGTAAATTGTTTTCAATTAATAACCAATCACAGCCACCTGTGTCGAGGCTGTGAGCAATCACAAGATTTTGTTATGCATTCTATTCTTGTTATTTCAAGCCTTCTAATCAATCTTTTCTCTCTATTCTTTTAGTATAGTTTTAATGTAGTATTTTAATATAATATATATCATAATACTATAAAACCAGCCTTCTGAAAACATGGAGTCAAGCCTCGCATCTCCACACATAAAAAGTTCACAACACTACCTAGATGGAGCAGTTGTTATTTACACATCTATGTTACTCTGACACAGAACTTCCATGCTAATGGAAGATCTCTGTTCCGATTTCCTGACACACCTCATTTATGTTACTGCCGAGAGCAAAAAAGTAAACAAGAATTCAAACAGCTTTCAGTGACTCTAATAAACTCCTATTGGCCTAAACTGAGGAACAGGACTTGGGGAACCAATCCTGTGAATAAACTGAAATGCACTTTGGGGACATCTTTCCTTCATGTTTTGTAACCACTCACCTGCAATGGAAAGATAGAAGTCTTTAAAATCTGTGATCTCTCGGGAGCCTTCGCAGGCTGCTATGCAGTCGTCGTAGGCTTTGAAGAAATCAGGAAGAGCCAGTTCCATGTCCGAGATGGATGTCCGCCAATTGTCGCCATTGTACGCTCTCACTGCCCTGACAAAGAGATTCTGAAAAATTGGCAGGAGTGAATCAGCAGTAACTGACCCGTGAGAAGCGTTGTGTAAACTCAAATACAGTAAATGACAGCTCCACATTTCTGTACGAGCTGCTCTCCAGATGATGTGAGAACAAATACAGGAGACTAATGGATTTTAACAGGTATTTCCTAGAGAGCAGAGTATGTAATTCCATTTCCAATCAAAAGAAAAGCCTGCTGGAGAGAAGCAACGGTGTGACTCTGAAGCACAGGCTGTGACAGAGATTTTCAATGGAATCTTAAATCCAAATGTCTGCACTATTTTCAGCTGTGCCACTACAGCACTCATGAATTTGGATAACTAAGCACCTGCTTCAATCCAGCAGTGTAGCAGCTTTCAGGTACGGTGCTCTCTGATTTGCTGTGATTCATTTATGGAACAATGAAGTGCAGAAGAGGTGAGAATTACTGAATGCACCAAGAAGGCAGAACAAAAATGACTGAGAGGACAAAAAGAGGGAGATTAAGAACTGAGAACACAAAAGCAAATGAGATCCCTGAATCTCGCCCAATAGGAAGAGTAATAGAACAGTTCCAAAAGAGCAGACTCTCCTGAATAAAAAGCATACCTCATAAGGCTTTATCTCCAAGTCTTTAATATGCTCCTCAGCATCAGGTATGCTCTTATAGTAGGCCATATTTCTTTGCATCATTTCATCATCTGGATGCTTCAGAAGAAATGTGTGAGCTGCTGCAATAGCTTTTGGAATATTATTAGCCTAAACAGGAATAGGGAAAAGAAGGTGTTAAAAAAAAAGATTAACTGGGAAAAAAAAAAAAAAAAAAAAAAAAAAAAAAAAGTTCAAAGGTTCCCAGTTTTCTCAATTGTTTTTCCTGCATTCTCTATACTCCCAAATTTACTTCTACTGAGAGCACAGTCTCAGCAGATAAATTGTACAGTGAAACTGATATAATTCCTCTCAGTTTTACTCCTAGCTGCATCACTGAGAACAATTTAACTTAGAAGTCTATCATTTTTGCAGATAAAATAGATGACTGTTGTAAACCAAAAAGGTTAGATTTTATCCCTTGCCCCTCCCCTGTTCACAGAGCTGACAAGGCAAAATACCAGGGCTCCTGGGAGGGTTTAATCTCACAGCAAGTACTGATGCTAACCTATGGACAGTAGTCAGGATCTTCACTGTTTGTATGTGTTTATGTCACTTATTTGCCTAGCAGCACAGAGGACATTATTACAATAATATATCTTCCTGGTGGCATTACAAAATTAGATCCTACTGCAGAGACTTGGTCAAAAACTGTGTCCTAAAGCAACTTTCTGTGCCCATTTTTAAACTAACTTTAATCCCCGTTAGACATACTTTGTGAAGTGCGCATTTCTCATTTACAGCTGTATGTATCAAACACGTATGTACTTCTGTGTGCATGCCATTTATGATTTCTTAAAATTTTATATATATATATACAGTTGTATATCTTTATAAATTATATAGTATATATGCACATATTTAGGAAGAGTGAGAGAGAAAGCAAAAGTCTGGGGGTATTTGTGGGGTATTTGTGAATAGTTAAAACCTTTTTTCCAGGCTATTCATTGCATTGATGTACAGGCAATACAGAGCTCCTCCTCACATGTGAAACAGCTCCTGGCAGCAGATGTTTGAAACCACGAGCAAGAATCACAGTGTGCACACACACACCCTTGTGCTCGCACCCATAAAAGGTGCCCTTTCATTTTGGAAAGGAACCTGAGAGATGGCTGCACAGGAGCAAAACTTCAACCCAGCCACTGCTGCTGTGCTGCTAGGAGTGTCCCAGCACTGGAGCTCTGCCAGCTGCCCTTCCTGGCTGTCCCAAAACTACGCATTTCCAGTCCGCCCCAAGCATGCTAAATGCAAAGGGAAATCTCAGCTGCACTTTCGTCAAATGCCTGGCAGAAGTGCTGTAGCTGTAAACCTGCTTCTTTGTTAGGCTGACAAGTCTCATTTTTACTTAGATCCATGATTCACTCTTGGTTTCAATTTTCACGTCTTAGGAAAAAAAATAAAAAAAGGTTTTGTAGAAACACACTCCTAAGAGAACTCAGTGGCTCTGAGAAAGCTCCCTCCAGAGGAGCAAGCAGCAGCGCAGGAATAGCTACTCCCAGAATCTTACAACGTGGCAAATTTCTTTATGGAGCCCACCTGAATACACACATGGTCACTCTAAAAAATTACATAAAGCATTTCCCTCCCGCTTCTTCCTCTGGGGTGGAGGGGTGAGGGAAAGGACATTCCTTTCACAGAAACCACCAGCCAGGAAAAAGCCCTTTGGATGCAGCAGTTTGTAGCTCTAGAAAGCCCATTTATAACTCCCCGAGAAAGGCTCAGAGCTGAACTACAAATCCAGTATGAAACACAATATAAACAACCGAGACTAAAGGCAAAACCACCAAACTACTACTCAAACTTAATGCAAATGTGATTGAAAAAAAAAGTTAAAAGGGAGGGGGAGGGATTCCTCCAATTTCCCTCTCACACTCCTACACAGCAGTTACTTGATTGTAATTGAAATGATAAGAAGAAAGTATATTTGGTGTTATCTGTACATTGCAAACTTTGTACGTGCCACAAGGGGGGAATTGATAGTTAAATTAAGATAAGAAGAGGAAACATTTGTGGTGATGTCATTTTGGTATCCATATATGGCTTTGAGAATTCGAGGAATTCCTGCCCTCTCTGTTAAAAGAAAAAGCAGGGGCTAAAATGTATCAAGTTCTTTCGTATGGTCTTAGGGAAGGCATTGGACACCAGTGTGATACTGTGCATGTGGATGCTGTTCTGGTTTCATGAGAACACATTTCCCTGTGAGTGTCTGGAAAAACTGCTGAGGAAACAGCACTCCTAAAAACAGGGCACAGCAGAAGTTTAGAAGATACGTGTTTTCAAGAAGCAATATCAAAAAAATGCACAAGCATACAACCCTATGTAATGTATACTGGGATATGTTGGGAGTGAATCCCTAAAAGAGAAAACAATCTAACCAAAGAGCTCAGCTTGTTTCCTCCCCACAGAGAGGCCCCGTTTATCTCAAATGCAAATAACTGCAGTATCTGAGGGGATGGCAGGAGGGATGGACCTTCATATAGAGAACAGAAGGTGAAGATGAGAAGGGAGAAAACAATCAATTAGATTCTGGACAGAAGAATGACAAGAAGGTAGAAAAACAGGATGAAATCTGTTAAGAGAGAAGTGTGTCCCCAAGTCTTGGCTGACCCAAGAGCAAAAGGTAAATACCATTCCAGGGTTAGCATTACAGTGTCCCACTTCAGCAGCCAATTTTCACTTCATTCCTTCTTGCAGCTGTAATGAAACTGGAGTTTTCCAGGCATGACGCTACCTGCAAGTCACAGGCTGGGGGCTGCTGTGCTTGAAAGAACTGGACCAGAAATGAGCAAGTGAAGAAGGTGGACACGCTGAAGGAGAAGAAGTAGTGAAGATTGTTTGCAATAGCAGAGCTGTGACTTGAGGAGTCTGAAAAAGGTTCCAGAGAAGGTTACAAAGTAAGGCAGATGGAAAGATGAGAGGGGCAGGAATGACACAGCTACTGAACACAGAAGCAGCATCCACTGCCTAGACGTCTAGGAAGAACTAAAAGGGCCGATTCTAGGGGACGTGCTGAGTGAATTGTAAAAAACGGGTGAAGAACAAGCTGGATGGTATGTGGGTAAGCAGGGGGAAAGACAAGGCACACGCTAATCCCACTGTGGGCTACAGGAGTGGCAGGAAACAACTGAAAGGTTTGCCAAGGAGAGAATTACAAAGTGTAGGGTTGGCAGCCTAGGGGGGCAAGGAAGAAATTGAGGTGAGGCAGATGAGAAGTGGCGTGGACGAGATTATGGGGAATGAGGCTGTGGCCCAGAGTAACCTGCTCCGAGGGCCAGGTGAGAGAGGTCGGCATGACAGGAGGTTTTTCTAGCATTGGGTGCGCGAGGCATCTGGAGTCTGTCGAGGCTGTCCTGGGACACGCCACGCTGTCCCCCTCCACCACGACACTGACAGGCGCGCTTGGCGTGCCTGGAGGGTGGCACCGCACCAGGCGAGACTGAGAAGAGCCTCCGACAGAGGCGGGGGGCGCGGAGGCAGGGCAGAGAGATGGGAGGTGAAAGGAGGAGGGATCAAGGAGAAGCGGGCGGGGGGGGGGGGCTCACCTTGAAGTAGGCGAACTGCAGGTACTTGTAGGGCTCGCGGCGCTGGAACTCCTCGAGCAGTTCGCGGCCGGGCTGCGCCTGTCGGAAGGCGGGCAGCCCCTGCTTGCAGCGCCGCAGGCACTGCGCCCGCCGCAGCACCCCGGACAGGAGGCGCAGCTCCTCCAGCGCCGCGCTGGCGGGCGCGGCGGGCGCGGGGGGCGGCTGCCCGGCCGCGCTGCAGTTGCGGTGGCAGAACGCCTCGCTGTCCCGCAGCAGGCGGTACAGCCGCATGCTGACCTCCAGGTAGCTGACGCTCTCGGGCCAGTTCTCGGTGCTGTACTGGTCCAGCCCGTAGCGATAGGCCGACTCCAGCGGCATCAGCTCGTCCCGCGGGAAGCTGCGGAAGCTGTAGCGCTCGTACTGCGCCCCCGCCGCCGCCAGCAGCGCCGCCAGCGCCGCCAGCCACATGGCTACAGCACAGCACCGCACCGCACCGCACCGCACCGCACCAGTCGCTGCCGCCGGCGGGGCGCGGGGCCGGGAGAGGCGGCCCGGGGCCGGGAGGAGGGAAGGGAAAGCGGGCGGGCCGGGGCGAAGGGAGGGCAGAGGCGGGGCCGGGACCGGGGCGGAGGGAGAGGCGGCCCCGGGGAGGGAGCGCGGGGGCGGGCGGAGCGCTGGCTCCTCCAGCCGGCCTCGGTGCCGCTGCCCGGCCGGAGCCGCGGCTGCTGCCGGCAGCAGTCGCGTCTGCAAGGAAACTTTTCGTTAATGTGTTTTCTCTTTTTTTTTTTTTTTTTTGTGGTGTGTGTTTCTCTACAAAACCTGTGACATAGGTTCACGCATTCTTATTGTGATGGCGAGCAATAAGTGCGCTGTTGGAATAGTCCTAGAATTCCGGGCATGATTTCCCTTGAAACTGTGCTTTTAGATATGGTGTTAAAAGGCGTTGAAGAGTTGTAAGCACTATTTCCGCCTCTGGTTGCTGTTTGATGTTTGGTTTCCTGAGGAAAAATAGTGTGGAAGATCTATAAGGGAAGTGGTTTTGCGTTTTTTTGGATACTTGCCAGAAAAGTATACTTCAAATGTTAGCTACAGAGCTATAGAATGCCAACAGTGTATCCTCTACCGGTTCTGCACAGTGCTTTGGGACATTTTCTGATGTCCAGCTACATTAATTAATAATCATTATTAACTGGGAAAAGCTGTGGTTGTAGATCCAAAGAATTTGAAAGTTCCTAATCTAATCAAGAAGTTCTTTAGAATTGTTCTTTCAGTCTGACACATACAGATAATTTGCATTATGACAACACGCAACCTCCCAGATTTCACAATCAGAGTTGGACCAGCTGCTCTCTCTCCAGTGCTCTTGGGGACTCATGCACTGATCAGTGGTGATCTTGGGGCTGGAGAACCCTCCAGCTTGGACAAAATTTTGTAGAGCCATTTAAAATGCTAGCATGGCTTCCAAACTAGACAAATAGTGAAGGCCCAGACCTTTGTCTGTTTTTTTTAATTTTTAAACTGAAACATCACAGGTAATTAAAAATAAAACAAAAAAACACACCCCATAAAATAACAACAACAAAACAAAAAATCCCCAAAACCCAAGCCCCTGACAGTTCCAGTATTTATTTTTCCTTGAAATGACATTTAACCCTGCGCTTTCTGGATCTAGTAAGAACAGTTCTCTATCCATTTGCTTTCTTAGGCTGAGTATTATTGCTTTTGTAGGTATGTGACCTCAATGACCAACCATGAAGAAAATTATTTCTTAGAAACACTTAATGCTTGGACTGTTTGTCTACATTTCTCAGCAGAGGCAGCCACAGGATGGAGGCTGGTGAACTGCTCAAGAATTCTTCATTGCAATGGCTACCCTTATAGCAGGGGTTCTCACGAATTACTGAGCTGAGCCTGCCCTTCTGAGCCCAAAATCACCTGCAAGTGCAAGTGCTGGAAATGTTGTATCTAAGTAGTTGTTATTTCGCACTTCAGGCTTGAAGGTCTGAGAAACCTGGAACCCCAGATCCTGTTTCCTGTGGGAAGGCAAACACCAAAAGTCAAAACCAAACCAAAATAAAACATCAGAGGTTGCTGGGGTTTGATTCTTTTCCACAGGAGGGCTGAGCACCGTGTCCCCAGCCAGGCTTTGAACTTTGGCTTGCTGCCAGCCTTTTGTTGTCAGCTCTGCTAGCCTGGACTCTGCATTTTGTCTTTGCATGGAATAGGGATGATTTTCCTGGTCTTTCTGGCACATGGCTGTAAACACTCTGAATCCCATTTTTAAACCTTTTTGGGTAACAAAGATGCAGCTGGGAGCTTACACACCGCAGGAGGAGGAGAGCCCAACAGTCTGGTTTGTGTGTGCATGTGGATGTTGCTCACTTTGCCAGTATTCCCACTGAGTGCCTGTTGTCCTGTCCCCACAGTCACTCCTGCTCTTAACTCCCTGACAGTTTCTGGAGTTTTGCTGCCAGCTGATTCCCAGAGGCTTGCCAGTATGTTGCAAAAAACGTGAAGATAAATTAAACTCTCTGACGCTGTTTTTGTAGTATTAGGGAGTAGGCATTCGTTTATTCCAGGCCAGGGTGCTCCACCTAGATGCACACAACTTGCAAATTTTTCACTTATTTATACATTTTTAGCAAAGAAGTTAATACTCATTGGCTCTAAATTACATATTTTTTCCACCAATTATTATTTTGTCTTCTACTGGTTATTGATTTCTCAATTCTCATGCTAATTAGTCCACATCTTTTAGTTTTCTTATTATCTTTTTCCCAGACAGAGAGCCTCCAGAATATGTTGAATCACCTTTGTTAGTCTCTTCTTTATCTTCTGGTTACTTCAATGTGTCCTTGGAGGGCTATTAATTCTGGATTCCAGGTGTCCAGCCTTTAACTCCCAAGGACTTTTTTCACTGAAGCTTATCAGGGTTAGTTCATCATAGCTTAAAGTTTTTGGGGATCTAATAATCACACTCTAACAATAACAGTCAGTAAAAACAAAAACTTAGATACATGCTGGCAAAAAATGGCAAATTACACTGCTAAAGACTAATACACTACTTATAGTTTTTAAAACAATGAGTTAATTAAAACCAACGATTAGGAAAGTCATCTCATTTCCAACAATTACAGGCTGGGGACCATGGATGGTGCAGTGGGATCTGGGGCTGACTCATTCTGTCTTACTGGACTGAAACTTGCTGCTTGTCTTTGGAGCCTAAAACCTGAGTGCCGTGTGCTGCTAGTCAGATTCCCAGGAGTGAGGGGAGCCACAGAATCAGGGGCTGCAGCACCACAGGGAGTACAGGGAGCAGAACAGGCTGATAAAATAAACTAGGCAACACCCTGGCATCCACCCCCAGGGAACCCCATGGCAAAAGGATTTGAAATGGCAAAATGAAAGAAACGTTTACATTTGGACTGGAAAGCAAAGGAGCTTCCATGCAACACCAAGTTAAACCTGGGTCAGTCCCCAGCCTTGAAGAGTTTGCAGTTTCAAGTTTATGCTTCAGAATTCTTAGGAATAAATTATAAAATCCCACAGGTTGGAGAAAGAAGGATCCATCTTCATACTCCCCACTCACCGAGTGAGGGGCTCAGTTCTTTCCAAAGGGAGGAAAGTGAGTTCCTAGGTTTTTTCCAAATCAATGCTGCATTTGGAACATGAAGGAAGCAAACAAATTTGGGTTTAACTAACGAAAAACACATTATGAAACTTAATAAATAAAAACCATCGTAAACCACATAATAAAACATATAACATTATAAAAACACATTATAAAACATAACCAACCAAAACCCTCTTATATTCATTATTCAAAACACAAATACATAAATTAAGCAGAAAAAAAGAAAATAAACGTTAAAAAAACAGGGCAGGTGACATCTGGAATGTGGCACATGACTATAAGTTTATTACAAAAGCAGACAGTAAAGCTCATTCATTTCTCTGTTCCATCTTTAAGTTCTGTTAGCCCCAAAACTCTTCTTTAAGTCTTGGCAAAAGGCTCTTCCTTGTCCTGCAGGTGCTGGCTTCTCACAGAAGTGTTCCTTCCTCTCATTGTGGCAGTCATCCTGGAATTGAGAAAACAACCCAGACATTTTCATTCCTTTATTTCTAATTCAATTGGTAAGTTCTACTTTTCTGAATTTCTGTCTGGTTTGAGTGTGACATTTTTAAAAATTCATTATTTAATTGAGGCAATAGGACCAAACATAGCAGCCCCTAAACTCTTACATGTACTGATCAATAACCCTTGCTAATAAACTAAGTAGAAAAGCAATCCCATGAGTATCCCTATCAAACTCTTTCTACCCCCAGTAAACCCCCAAATTAAGTTTTAATCCTTCCTTTCACAGGCCATGGCTTCTCATGTACTTGTTCTCCTTCCTCTTGTTGTGTCAAACACCCTGGAAGTCAGAAAAAATAAACCTTCATTCTTAATTGCCTTAATTCCATAAATGCTATTAAACCCAGAAGCGTTATTTTGACTTTATGAAATATTGCCCATTGTGGATTCACCAAAATTTCCTTCTGATGGTTGAGGTTCCAATAAGACCTTTGGGCTGTGAGGGATGATCTTCCTACTGCCCTCAGCATCACTCAGGTGGCTTTGGAAATTTAAATCTGTTTCAAGTCAAAAGCAGCAAGTTTCTGGCAGAAAGAGGAACAACTTTCATATGTCTCAAACATCCTGCAAAGAATCGAGGGGCATTATTTGACCTCTCTATCTCCCTCTTTTCCTTCCTTGGAGGATGGCAGCTCCTCTTTAGGCTACAACAACCTGGAAATGAAAGAGTCTTTAATTATTGTCCCTTCTGTTCAGAAAAGGGGAAGAACTAAAGGAAGAAAATAAGCTTGAAAACTCTCAACAGCCCAGGCAATTACAACATCCAGCACAAACACAGATCAGCCCATGCCAACTGTCCAAACACTGAACATTTGAGAAAGAATTTGGATTTGGCCACAAGGATGGGCTGTGAACACCGAGCTTGGAAGAAAATTTGTACTTCTCTAATTTATACTGCACTAAGTGGTCAGATAAATAGATAAGTGTATAGATATACACCTCTATATAGTGTATGACTACCCATCTCCTCCCAGAGTGCAGCTCTGGCACTAGGTGGAGGAGTTCCTGGGTTCAGCTCCCAGAGCTGTGCTCACTGCTGCTATCTGGGACTGCCCTGAGAGCAGGCACAGCCTGCAGCTCACACCTGAGTGGCAGCAGGATCCCCCTGGAGCTCTCCCTGGACAGCTGCATCAGTCGTGGTGGGTGCAGAGCTTAGAGAGGTCGTGGCATTCTCCCCATTGGGTACTGCTGCTCCCTAGTCAAGCTGGCAGAGCTTCAGTGCCCTTGCTGTGTGCACTTCTCCATGATCTGATGTTTTCCTGCCTTGGATGCTGGAGCTTCTTATGGGGCTGAGGGAATGGACATTTGGTTCCCATTGCTCCTGAAACACCCAAGTCCTATCAGCCACTGTTGTGCCAGCTGCAGGCTCCTGGCAGCTCTCTCAGCTTCCCCTGGGGATCCCCTGTTCAG